GAAGTGCATCAATCCTTCAAATTTGTTTGAATTTTAGGTTTTATAAACATCTCAATTCTCTTAAGATTATATAAACTTTCTTAAGTTTTTAGTTAAATGAGTTACAACAACACCTAATTTCCCTCTGGGATAAATAAAGTATTTTGAATTGAATTGAATTGAACAAAATATGTTTTGGTAAAAGGTATTGTTTAAAGGTAAAACTTTTTTATGAGCCTTATACATAATCTGCAAGATATTATAATCAACCAACTCATAAAATTTTAATAATTTCAATTTAGAAAATAATATATCCTAATGGATACTGGGTGCATTGAGTTTGTTTTCAACCAACTTTACTCTCAATTATTTGATCTTTTTTACTCATTAGACATAATCCTTGATGTCCATTTATATTTCATACGCTTGAATAAAATATTTTAAATTGTTTATCTTCAATTTATTAAATTTGAGCCCAATTTGTCAATCAGTCAACCAATTAATTAGATCAGTCTCTGTTTGCGTCGATACGAGCACATCAATATATGAATAAGAGACGAGCACATTTGTGAGAAACTGTATTGTTGCCTTTGACTCTAAAGCTTTTTTATCAATTAAACAAAGCTTTGTGCTAGAATTTTTTTCATTTCGTTTTTATTTTATGTTCTGCTTGAATGGTAGAGGAGTAAAGTAAAACTTGTTTCGCCCACTGTAGCTACTGTGCTGGCTGCTGTTTGTCACAAAACAACCTCATCACCAAAAAATGTATTACATAAATGTCCGGGACCTGCTGCTTTGTTTAGAGAGTGTAAATAAATGTTCATTATCTTTTCACAACCATGGAGCAGTGCTTCAGTTTTTGTGTTGGGTTATTTTGAAGTATATCATTATTTCTAACAGGCCTATCCWTCCAATCAGCTTTGGTCAATTAGTTAGTCCCCTTCCTGTCTCATAAACTGCGGTTGACCCCGTGGCCCAGAGGAAAGCTCTACCTAATGAAGATACACAAAGGCCCAAATTAACTGTAGACCCCTCTCTTGTTTTATCCTGTGTTGTGTGGCCTCTTTTCTGACCTCAGTCCTCTATTTTTTTGTTGTTCACATCTCCTAGTCTTCTGATTCTCCTGGTTGTTCTATTCTCCACTTTCCCCTTTGACTGCTGGTAATTGTTCTGCAAGTGCAAATGTTTCCGAGTGACAAAAGTGCTTTGTCCCTTTATACTTTCATTATGATGCCAGAACATAATTTGATTGACAATAAAAATGAGAATTTTGTTTCTATATCATTGGTGTTGCATTGCTTGCCTACACCAGTGGTGTTACTTGAAATCAATATCCTCTTCCTCATAATCAATACTCAATGTTGAACTTATTAGAATAATTAATTTTAGAAAACTACATTGTTGATATTACCAGTGTCAAACCAGTCATGAAGCATGTGATCAACCACAGGAAGTCGAGCTACTCATGCTTGAGGCAGCAGAAAAAAACGGAGGAAATCACAAATGAAATTTCAGCTTATTTGATACAAAGAAGTGTCAAGAATAGATCATAATTTGGACTTTTTTTTTGGATCTATGAGTCAAAACTCTGACATCCTCTTTTGTATTATATTTTTATTACATGTAAGGCTGCTGCTATAGCCGAATTATTTGTCACATTTGCTTCTTTTCCAAGCTTTTAATGCAGACTTTTTAGAATTGAAAACAATATTTTAAAATGTTTTGAGGGAAAGTTGTTTGTACTTTTATTGTGAATGGACTGTCAAAAACCAGCTTGAAGGTCAAAATATCTTCTGTTTTGGACTAATTGACAAAGCTCATGGAAAAAAAAGGAAAGAAAGAAAGAAAGAAAGAAAAAAAGAAAGAAATGTTGATTTTCAGTACAGTTTCACTATTTTAAAAATAGTTAAATAAGGCAGAGTAACACATTCAAGCATTCCTAACAAGCATACCTTAAAGCAAACAGAAGATGTAGTTATCAGCAATGAAATGAGCATTTTATTTTATTCATTGCTTGTGTAAATAAACACATTCAAAAAAAGTATGTGCCACTAAGATGTGTGTGTGTGCACCAGAACGCTGCATCTGTTCGTGCTGCTTTATTGGCAAACCATAATGAAACAGAGCTAAGTTACACCTTTTGTTTTTCCTGCTCTGAAGTCGAAATGTCTCTGTTGAGAAAGCATTCTCTTCCAGATTAGTTTTTCTGCTGGCTCACAACTGAGTGCCACTACGTGGGCTTAAATAATCAATCAGTTTGTGTTGTCAAAGACGACTAAATATGTTTTGTTGCGCGACCCACAGTCACCTCTTTCATTTCCCAAATCTGTCAATTGGTCAGTTTAACAGATGGAAAATAGATCACAAACAACAAAAGAGTGTGGGATTTCTAGTGTGAATGTCTGGCTCGCTGCGTCTGATTCYTCCTCTGCCTCTCCATCTGATTCTCCACTCCGCATTTAATTCTCTTCATCTCCCGAGTGTTTCTGCTGCTAAATCGGTTCTCCTCCTCCTACACAACACAGTACCATGTCAGGACTGAAAGGTTTTAAGTACTACACAGATATACGCAACAACACCAACCGTCCACCTCCATTCTCTTACATGGATGCTGTATTTAGACCCTGTGCCATTCATGCTTTTTGTTTGTTTGGGATTTTTGTGGATGGCACACTCTGCAGTCTAATCACAGTGTGAGCCCCCAAGGTTCATCGTGCACTGTTTTTTTATTATTTGTTCTTATTTTCTCTTGCTGCAGCAGTCTGTTTTTGTTTTTTCAGGTGATGAATCGTCTGAAATGTGATCTTTCTGTATGTATTTACTCATCCCCTTTTTTCCCCCTTACACTCCCCTTACACC